CTCGTTTGTGACATTAAATTTTGTTACCTAAGTGCGACAGAAACTATATATAAAACAAAAACAAAAAAAATTGTAAGTTATCACAGTTCTACTGCAAAGATGATTTCTTTTGTCACATAAATTGTGATAATCTTTATTTATATAACACATCTTTGCAAAATCCCTATATTTTGTAGTCTTTGTTTTGCTGCTTATTCAAAACTCACTAATCACATTTGTTCTACTTGTTTCGTTAGATTTGTTTGTTCCACACCGTTGGTTACTTATCTCGATACAAACCTGTAAACTAGAATTATGGTTTGTTTGCGACTGACAAATATTTTGTTTTATTTCGTAATCGTTTCGATATCTATATGTATGTATGTAAATTTCTTTAAGCACATTGAAACGGGTACTACCAATATTTTTGCATAGCCTTAACTTCTTGTCGATCGTATTATTACAACATGTCAGATAATAAGTAAAACAAAAATAATACTAATGTATAATTAAACGTAAATAGGTAATACACAATGTGATCATTTGTTTTTGGATCCATGATTTTTACACAAACTAAATTGGATCAATGAAAACTCTTCCAATGAAGTTGTGGTTTCATTGAAAAAGAACAAAGATCTTAATTTTAATAAATAATAAGAAGTTAATTGTTTCAAGGCCAAAGTCTTTATATATAAAAGAAAGAAATCAAGAATCTGAAACCCAGCCAAAACTGGTATTTTAATTCAGAAGAAAAAAATCAAGAAAATAAGTTGAATTAATGACAAAAAAAAAAGAAATTAAATTAAAACTCTTCCGGAATGCTTCGTAATACAGGAGTCCAAGAAGACGCTCCAATCTTATCCACCACCTTTGCATGATTCTTTTTCCTTAGTTGTCTCAATCTTTGTTCCACCAAAGAATGTACCAAAACGTCGTTTGTATCGTATTCTATCATCACCATTGTAGATGAGCTTCTCTAGGTCACATTTCTTTACGAACATTCTAATCCTGATCATCACTCCGTTCTCCTCCGTTTGTTCGTAAACGACACCGTTTCTCTTCACCATCTCTAATTCTCCGATCATGTTGTTCTTCGCCAGTCGCTTGCTGCGGAAGTCCTTTACCAAACTCACCGCCCGGGATATTCCTCTTTTCAATAGCAATGTCCTCTTTTGCTCCATATCTATAATAGTTTTAAAGATTTCTTTTGGGGTCACGTATATATATAGTGTACTAATATGGTCCACTACACCGGATCTACCACGTTATAATCTGAAATATTTCTGATTAATGGCTGGCTAATAATTGATTCGATTCGATTATTAATGTTTTTTGGTAATCATTTGTGTTAGTGTACATAATATCTTAAATTTAAATTTCTAATTGGTGATCTGGCCGATTTATGACTTTCTGCCAAAAAATAACTTTGTGCAAGAAGGTGTTTGACTTTTGTATTTTTATTTCCTTGCAACAACTTTTGTATTTATTTTTTCCAACTAGATTTAATATTCTTCTTCTTTTTTCAACAACTTTTATAACTAAAATGGTTTAGAAATCTAAATCGGAAAACAAAGTTTACATATCTAATATCTTGTGGGCTTAGTGGAACACTACTTGTTAATCTGTCTATTTTACAATTTAAACCATATGGTATAAACAAGATCGAAAAAAAAAAAAACATAACTTCTTACTCTTCGTGAACTCCTCCAAATGTAAAGAAAATACAAGAAAACATGTCATGTAGACACCATCTTCACCGAATCCGAATAGTCTGTTATAAATGCTACCATCGTTTTTTGTTGGTCGATAATACACTTTCATAACACATAGGAGTGCTTCTAATTTAGAATATAGCCGGAAAAAAACTTTTAAAATTTTGAGCACACATTATGGATCCTAGTATATCATCTTAAAAGCAAAAGCATCCTAAACTTGCAAATAAATTTGTCTCATTCCAAGAATAATCTATGTAACAACGATATCCCATAAAACTTAATTTTTTCGATAAATGAGTAGTATGGTATTGGTCCAATATATGTTCATCGATGCCGTATCCTATATCAAGCCTTCTGATTCAACTACTTTTGGAAGCAGAGCCGGCGCACCTAAAATTGAGGCCACAAGCCCAATTTAAAGTTTGGGCCAAAATTTATTGTGAACAAAGGGAAAAATAATCAAAACAGGTAAAAAGTGTTACATTAAGGGATCGAACTTGAGATCTTAGTAATATATCCCTAACTTAAAACCACTAGACTAAGAGACTTTTACATAAATGAGGCCGATTAAGTGATATATATTGTCGGGTCGCAAGCACATGCTTCACTAGCTTGTGCTTAGGGCCGGCTCTGTTTGGAAGAATCTCTTGGGATCTTTATCCATATTTTTTATACCACTTGTCATTTCTACCTTTCTAGATACAGTATACTATATTATCCTTGAATTCATTTCCTATCCTTTTGTTTTTGTAATTTGTATATTTTATTTCCCTTCACAAAGTATCTTCCCTTATGCTTCTGATTTTTTTTAGCCAAGACTACTATCTAAGACTCTAAATTGTGGTTGTAGCTGATTCATAAGTCATAACTTTTGGAACTTTAATATCTAAGTTGTGTTGATTTTTTTTTTTTTTAAGATTTTCTAAGTCTTGTTGATTTTCTAAGTTGTGTTGGATACAAATCGATCCATGGCTGATTGGCGGTGGCTAATCGGAATTATGGCGATCTCCGGCGAGAATTGGCGGTGGCGTTGTTATCTCGACGCGTGGGCTAAGAAGAACACGTATTATACACGTGTCACTAGCTAATTCATATAGGCTGATTTTGTTTATCTGTTATTTTTAATCTCTGAATTAGTTTGGACCGTTGTCGCTTGTATTTTTTTAATGGGTCTTCTGTACTGGTCCTTTGGGCTTTATAATGAAATCGTTGGTTGACGAAAAAAAAAAACGATTTACAGAAAAATTATGAGTTAATTTGTGCAGAGGTAGAAATGGGAACAATAATTAGTGCAGAGGTAGTATCAGAAGCTGTCGGTTCGCAGGTAGTATCAAAAATTAGAAAGAGGCTGCATACAGCCTTTATTTACAAAAAAAACCAAGCCGCGTGATACGTATGCGCGTGGGCGAAGGATAGGTGGCTCTATGTGCAACCGAAAGAACATTCTGACTTGCCTTTAATATGTCAGATAGAACTAATAGTTATTCGGCAAAAATCAATACGAGGTGATGGTTATTTAATGCGTGTGTCTCTCGTTTGAGGATGTGGGATTCGAAATCAAACGAAAAGGTTTAGGCGGGATGCGAAATTTTAAAGGACTAACCTAGGGCTGTTATCTATAACAGCAGTTTATAGAAGTTAAAAAGGGATGTAGCTGTATATGTTAACAAATGTCGTTTGACAAAAACTGAATGAACATTTATATAAACACATAGAGGTCTAATATACTAAAGTTACATAAGATATATGACTCTATGAACATATATGAACATGTATCTAAATTTATAAATAAATATTAATTCATTAACTAATTGAGAATTTTTGATTAAATTCGATTTTTTTTTCCAGAAAAAAACATGTTTCGATTGATTTCATGCATAGCCTATGCTCCATCGTCTTCTTCCTTTTCACTCCAAAATTTCTTGTTTTGTTTGTGCTCTTAGTCACCGTCGTTGGTTTTAAATCTACTGTTTCTTCATCGTTTGCAAAAAAACTCTAGCTATCTATATTTGGTCGTTTCTTCTTCCCAGATCCACTTACGTCTTTACCTATTTTCTTAGATCCGGTTTGGACATTCACAATTCTGCATAGATCTATACTTTCGTGTTTGCATGTTCATAAGTTTTCTTGCGGCTCCATTAACTGTTCATCCCCCTCGTAATCCACATCCAGCAAGACCAACCTTGTTCTGTCTCCACCTGTTCATGTTTTTAGCAATCCAAGTTAATACATGGATATTCACAATTGGATAAGACGCATTATTTGCAAACGTAGAGCTCTATGTTACATTGGCTATGTTACCTTCGAGGTATGTGTCATCAACCACCGGCGCTGCGTCCCTAGCAAAAGTTTGCACTGGCATTTCAAGCATATAAACATAATAAACACGACGCTGTTTTTCTTATCGGTTTGAATGAATTAGAAAAGAGTTGAGAGAGATATAAACATAAGATCTGCATCTATTCTTTGTAGATCTATTTGTGAAGATCCAAACAATGTTTTAGATTCTTATTTGTATCGTGAAAGTTATCTTTTGCGATGAATAAACAGTGGCGATGTGAATAATAAACACAACACTGTTTTTCTTATCACTTCGAATATTAGAACAGAGTTGAGAGAGAGAGATGAACATGAGAAGGAGAGAGGTGCGTGGGGCCATGAGAATGAAAAAAGTGCGTGGGGCTAAAATCGGGAAAAAGGATGGCTAATTATTATCATTGTCTTGAGTCATATGGCCAAATACCGAAAATTTAAATAACTCAAAAAGTAGTGTCTCTCACCCAATTATCTCAAAAATTAATTAACCTCAGGTTTATTGTCTCTCTATCTAATCAGGTTTATTGTCTCTCTATCTAATTACTTTTCTTTTTGGTAGGACGGCTCAAGTGGTTACTATTGTGATTTTCTTTGTCGGCAGAAAAAATACAAAGCAAAAAAGAAAACTTGACGACCTTTTGTTTTTTACTTGATGAAGGCTACTATATATTTCTTCCAAAATTAATCAAATGGAACTTTTAGCAAAAAAAAAAAGAAAAAGGAAAATAAAAAATAAATAGGTTACTCGAACAAAATCTATGGACTGAGAAAATACATATCATATAAATTCATATGTAAAATCTCAATGCTGTCTCATAAATGGAAAATTAATTAGTAAGCCATCATTTAAAAAAAAAAAAAAAAAAAACATCCGTTAACCTATTTCATTTCATGAATAAAAATGTCAATTTCAGAGACACTGACGCCTCCTCCAACGAGTTTCTTCTGATGGCCAAATTATAAAAGCTCTATCAAGAAATTTTTTTTTTTAGCTGTTTTCTTGGTGAGGCCGGTGATGACTGACGTTACCGTTGCTGCCGTTTGCTCCGGCATAAATGATTCATGTTCTCTCGCCGTTTACCTCACCGGAGTACAACAAGTGGTACCAAACTCTACTTTTTTTTTTAATTTTTGATCTCTCTTTCGGTAATTACAATTACTTCCAAAATCAAGAAATTTAAATTAATATGCAACCTTTTGTTGTGGACGGTGAAAATGGTTTAAGACGGTGGGACTAGGGACAATGGTAATGATGCCAGTGATCGGAAATCTATCCGACAGATATGGAATCAAAGCATTGCTCACTCTTCCCATGTGCCTCTCTATTCTTCCTCCAGGTTCCTCTTTTTTTTCTATTACACAATGCTTTTTACTTCCATTTTTTTACCATCTCAATAGGAAAATTATAAGTAGTGTAAATCTAAGTTTTTGAAATACTCAAGAACTAATAGTATAAAAAATTACATGCAAAGCCAATATAAATTATATATACAATATGTACCAATAATTATAGAGTTAACGTTTCCAAGAAAACTAGCAGAAATTAATCACGTGTACCACCAATATAACAAAAGATGCCTTAAAAATATAATATAATGTATTTGAGAAATTTGGAGAGTCTCTATCCACTGCATATGTTCTTATGACACATGTAATAGCAATTAAGACGATTGTCGGTCCATAATTTCTGCCGAGATATAGCGTTAAATTTTAGATAATCTGATTTAGAAAAGAAGTACTCTTTTATTTTTTTTCTTGTGAAACAGAAAAGAAGTCTTTATACCAAAACAAAATGAGATAAAACCCAGCATACAAAGACACAATTTTCTTCTGCTACCACTAAATCACCATTTTTTTAGTTATTGTTTTTACCTAAATCAAGAAAGATAATTTGAAAGTTATTGACACAATGAACGAAACAAAACTGTGAAATTTGTCACAATTAGTTACTGAATGTAGTAACCGTTTGCAGCGATATTAGGGTATAGAAGGGATACAAATTTTTTCTATGCATTTTATATAACCAAGACTCTATTCGATATGGTCTGCCGAGGCGCTGTTGACTGTCTCTCTCAAGCTTATGTGGTACTCTTCTCACCATGATCAAATTATATGATATTCTGAGTCATAATAATTTATTTACAACATTAATACAAGTTCATTTTTTTTATTTTTTCAGGCGAAAAATGTTCAGGGCAAAAAAAGAATAGCAATGTTTGGAGTTTTGGCTGGTGTCAAAAAAATTTCCGGAGTTTTTGCAACATTCTCAGCTCGTTTTCTCCCTGTAGCTTCGACTTTTCAGGTATCGTATCATCATACATGAATCATGATACATATAAAAATAAATAATGAAGAAATTACAAGAAAAAACTCAAAAGATTATATATAATAAATGATTAAAATAAAATTTCAATGAAAACTTACTAAAAGTTTGAGAAGATTTTATATATTTGAAAATTCATATTTTTGTAATATTTTAAAGGTTTTATTCATGGTACATATCTAAACAAAAATTGATTAGGTTGCAGCTATATCATTATTAATTGGTCTGGTGTACATGAGAGTTTTCCTCAAAGATAGATTACACGATGAAGATAACGACAATTATGGTGATGGTGGTGGTAGTAGCAATCATCAAAAAGTTCATAAAGGTAGTGATCTAAGGATGTTAGCAAAGCCAATTCTAAGAGACACACCAACAAAGACACATGTCTTCAACACTAAGTACTCGTCTTTAAAAGATATGGTCAGCTTGATAAAGAGTAGGTACGTTTCATATATATAAAAAGTATGTATGGTTTCGTCTACGTACATTACATATATATATCATCATATATAACCCTAAATTGTCAATATGTTTTTTTTATTAAACAGTACCATACTCGTTCAAGCATTGGTTGTTACATTCTTTTTTACCTTATCACAAAGTGGAATGGGGTCTGCTTTCATGGTTTCTCTCATCTCCACAACTTTACATTCTTTATTTTACTTTTAAGAAAGAAAAAAACTTTTAATTAACACTAAAATGTGTATGATTGTTTTTCAATAACACAGTATTCTATGAAAGCTCGTTTTGGTTTCAAGAAAAATGACTTTGCTGAGCTCTTTCTATTGGACCACATCATTGGCTCCACCTCCCAGGTATATTTTGTAATATATACTAGGATATGACCCGCGGTACACCGCGGATTAATTATTTGATTTTTTTATTTTTTTTATAAACTGATGAATTTGTTGTGATGATATTTTTTGTTGTACATCGCGGGTCACATGCGTTGTATATAAAAAATAAAAATTTTAAGTTGTATTTATTTTGTTTACTGTTTAAAATTGTATAATTAAATTTTGATTTATTAATTCTAGGATTTCACCCGTGGTATATTGTCCCGTATTAATATCGACCCAAACCCGTCCCACCATATACTTCTGTCCTGTGGAATTAAACATCATTTTGTTATTTTTTTAATAACACTTTTATTTAAAAGATATATAATTCGAGTCAATTTAAAAGTTTACTTTCAAATGGTTTTCATAATATATATATTTTAAAATTAGTATGTGTTTTTGGACCAACCCGTGAAAACAATTTATAATTGTATCTTAAAATACTAAATAACTAGGGATTGACCCGCGGTACACCGCGGGACTATATTTTTTTTAAGAAAATAATATATGTTTGTTTGAGAGAAATTAATATAGGTTTTAAACATAATAAGTCTTTATATAACCCATTTAGATGTGTGATTAGAATATATATGGAAATCAATGTAGTGCTAATTGTATGAGTAGTATGTTGTATGTATGAATATTTATAATAAAACGAATGAGATTAATATTCAGTAAGCGACGATGTACCGGGTTGTGTACAAAGTACGTATCGTCTTATTGTGTTTGTTGTATATTTAAAAACTTTTGAAAGTGTATAAGGACTTTATTGTTAATGTGCAAATATATGTTTTGGTTCGAAACATTTGGTTATGGTTAGAAATATCTAAATATGATATCTCTTTATTTATTTTCTTGTTGAAAGGAAAAACATATGTGGTAGTGAAATAATTCCGTTGTATTATATATGTAGAGAATTATTGTATTTAATTATGATTATATATTTGAGACAAATTAGTGTTAATTTCATAAATGAAATTTATAAATCACATTTATTGTATGAGATTTTGTTGAGTAACAAAATCAAAATTGACATGTCCATTTCAAATTAGATGCATATATTAAGGTTGTTTGGACATTAATCTTAAATGTAATAATAATCAGCTGGTTTAATTAGTTTTGGTTTATTAAACCAATACTTGGTTTAGTTAAACCAACGAAATTGAAGCCAACCAAATGCTGAAAACAAAATCGAAATCAACAGCTACGTTGAGTCCGATCCTCCACTCTTCTTTCAATCGAAGAAGCTGATTGATTTCTTCCGATTACCTGATTTCCGGCGAAGGTATCTCCGACGAATTCATTTCTACATTCCTCCTGAAAGCTGCATTAATTCCGGAAGAGATCTAACGTCTCTGCTTTTTGATTTCTCTCGAGCTTGGAGATTGAGAGAGTGATTATAATTCTGGTGGTTCTATAATACTGGTGAGCTAATTCAATGATGCAATTTGAATCTATGGAGTTCGAAACCTAAAAGATGGAGATCATCAATCAGAGGAAGCTTCCATTACTGAGGTAATACATGAAATTCTCAAACTTTCTCTACTAATTGCAATTGATTGGTAACGTATAAGAGTAATTGATCGCCAGTTTGAAATAGCTTTGTTTCTGGTTCATGTGATTAATGTATATGGTTGTTTAGTAAATTAGTAGAGAAAGTTTCTTTGATGTAGATACTTGTATATCTCTGCATGTAGAGTTGACTTAGCTAATTGGATTGTATATGTTGATTTCTAGAAATGTAGTTCTAGATAACTATAGCTGATTGATTAGAAGATATGGTGAATAGGCACACTTCAATCTGGTAGTACAATGTTTGAGGCAGATATTGAAAGAAATAAAAAGATAGAGCTCATAATTTCATTGAAGATTGAAAAAAAGAAATGACTGAAATGATCATATATTGAATGGTAGCTTGTTTGTCTGCCTGTTGAGTTACTTGATTGGAAGCTTGACTGCTGCCTGAGAAAATTAGAAAATGTTTCCATGTTAATATTTGATTGTGGGTTTTTCAAGCCATAATTGAAATCGGTAGAGTATGTTAAAATAAGAAAACATACCTTCTCTGAACCAATTCACAGAGAATGGTATTAGGCAAGTTAGCCTATGTTCTGAAAAACCTCCTTGAAAACAACATTGGTTGTTTGCTTCTGAATTTTTCCTTCTTTGTCTAGTATTAAGATTTTCAAACCTTTCTTAGACGTTACCCTAGACAACGCAACATAAAGCTGACCATGAGAGAAAACAGGTTTAGGCAAGTAAAGTCCAACATGTTCTAGAGATTGGCCCTGGCTCTTATTGATCGTCATAGCAAATGCAACAGATAGTGGAAACTGTCTTCTACGCATCTTGAATGGCAATTTGGTATCTGAAGGTGTAAGGTTTACAGTAGGAATAAACACTATATCACCAACTCTATCTCCTGTTATAACTCTAGCTTCCACAATCTGCTTACATAGCTGTGTAATCTGAAGCCTAGTCCCATTACATAAACCACCTTTAGGATCTAAATTTCTAAGCAACATAACCGGAGCACCAACTTTCAAACGCAAAGAATGGTTTGGCAAACCTGCTACTTTGATACTGTTTAAAAAATCAGGAGTGATAACAGGATTCTTAAGTGAGTCAGAATCATCGGGATCTATACTATCAGCTGATAGATAGATTCGTTCATCACCTGTATGTAAACAATATAAATCCACATGTCAGATGTTTACATAATTAATTACACTTCACAGATTTGCTAGAAAGGAAATAGCATATAGTTAAAGTAGACCAACCTTCTAAATGCTCTAGCATATACTGATTTATAGTGTTGACATCATCATTTTTTGGTGCCAAAATAGCTCTTTTTTGAAAGAATTTAGGATCAATGATGGTGTGGAGTTTTGTTGGATCACCATAAATTTCCCAAGTAATAGCTTCTACAGGATTTTCTGCTTCTGTAATCAACAAATCATGTGGAATATCTATTACTGCTTCCCCATCATTAGGCTCATTAATCCTACCATCTCCAACAGCCAATAACCAATCAGAAAACTCTTGGATCTCTTTAGCTTCTGCAGGACTTAAATTGTTTGCTAGTAGTCTCATGTTCTTAGTCAACTTCAAGACTTTGCAGTGATCCCAGAGATACGAAGCATTTAGAGATGACATCACTATTTCTGCTCTACCTGCACCGGGAATTACCGGAAGAACTTGCCTGAAATCACCACCAAAAACAACAACCTTACCTCCGAAAACCTTGTTGTTTCTATTTTTCATAATTTCGCAGAAGCTTTTGTCTAAAGCTTCGAAACAAAACTTGGTCATCATTGGAGCTTCATCCCATATAATTAGAGATGCTTCTTTGATAAGATCTGCTAGGTCAGATTTAGGCTGGATCTTGCAAACTGAAAACTCATCAGGAGTCAGTGGGATTGAAAACCTAGAATGTGCAGTTCTACCTCCTTCTAACAACAATGAAGCGATTCCACTTGAGGCGACATTAAGAACAATCTGTCCTTTAGATCTAATCGCAGCTGATAGTGTCTTCCAAACAAACGTTTTACCAGTTCCTCCAAATCCATAAACAAAAAACACTCCTCCTAAATTATTGAAAACAGCACCAGTAATCTCATTGTAGATACTTCTCTGCTCAGTAGTTAGCATCTGTATCCACTCTGCATGTTTTTCTGCCAATTTACCATCACGGTTGTATCTCTTTTCATAACTTATCAGTCGATTAGAATTATCAATACCTTCTCTTGAAGGCTTGGGAAAACTCTCAAAATCTTCTAGAGTGCTTCCATTAGATAACAAAATTTTCTCTATTTCTTGGAGAGTATAGTTCTTAATTTCCGCTTCTGTGAGGGTAAGTTCTGCAAAGATTAGTATGTTAGAATTAAAAAAATAAGCTAAGCACTTTAGTATAAATAGACATGTCCATACTAAGACCACAATAGTATACAAACCTTGATTGTTGAACTCTGTTCTCTTCTTTGTCTCAATATCCTCAGCTAACATATGCCATGTTTGTTCCCAAACATGTTCTGGTCTAGCCAGAGACCCAGAAAGCAGCAGCATTGCAAAAAAATTCCTCAAATAATCTCCAAAACAAAACTGTCTTAATTCTACCAGACCATCAATGAAGACCTGATCATCATCTAGAATACCACGTGCAAAACATGCTTCTTTGTAAGTTTTGTAGACAACACCATTAAATGTTTTGATGTCAGCATAAGTCTTTGGACCTCTGACAATGTTAAGTAAGACTCTAAGATAGTACTCATCTTCCATTTTCCTTGGTACGTAGTTAATGCGACCCAAAGACCAACCTCTTTTTCTTGGATTGAACTTCTTATTTGTTCCATCCCAAGTGAAATATGCTGGAATTTCTGCATACAAACACTCTCGTGCACGTTTTCCTTTCTTTCCAACTGCATTCTTCCTATTCAAAGTGAGCCAGGCCATAAACTGAGAGTCTTGATTCGATACACGTTCTAGAACATCTGCAATCTTTGCCTTGGGATCGAAAAAAGCTGGTTGCTTTCCTTCACAGTGGAAAGATAGTTTTAGGACAGGAGTGGATCTATGTTGAATAGGAAATTTGTAAATCCTCCAAATAGCTTCTGACGCAGATACATACCTGTGGAAGAAAGATTACTTAAAATATGAGTAGTGAATCTTGAGCTTAAAAATTATTAGAGAAATTAACTTTATAAAAAGACAAAAACTAACCTGCAGTCAAACCAATCTTTGATTTCATTCTTCTTTTTCTCAGTGGAAACTGGTTCTTCACCAGGAGTTGTTGTTGTTTCACCAGCTGTAGATTGCTTTACTGGTTCTACAATGAATACAACTTTATCTGGTCCTTTGTTTATATACTTAAATAAGTATTTGATAGAACCGTTCTGATTGCACCATTCCACATTGATATGAGCATTATATCGCAGGGATAGTTTTTTATTATAAGGCACAACATACCTATTATCACA